TTTCTCTAAATGCTTGTAAAATTTGGTTATTCTGTTAGGTTTCTGGAATCTTAACTATTACATGCCTATGTGTAGATTTTTTTTTTTTTGATCAAGGCTATTTGGAATCCTATATGCCTCACTTATCTGTCAAATTCTTTTCCCCTTCTTGGGAAGTTTTCTGCCATCACTTCTGTGAACAGTTTTTTTTATGTCATCTGCACTCTCTCCTGTTTCTTCATTGACTCTGCTCAGTCTTATGTTATTCTTCTTTGCATCGTCTAGCAGATGCTGGATTGATTTCTTGTAGTCCCTTACTATTTTAAAGAAATTTTTCTTTTCCTGGTCACTAATTACAGTCTTATCTTCTGTATCTGAAATTCTGTCCTCACATTGGCTCATTCTGCTGCGTGGACTTTCAGTGGAGTTTTTAGTCTCCTGGAAATCTGTTTGCATCTGTTTTATGGATTCCATTTGTTTCCTATGTTGGGATTCCATCACGTTCCCCAGTTCCTCTATTTTTTTATCTGTGTCCTCTCTAGATTTATGAATCATGTCTTGCACTGTGACCACAATCTCTGCTGTTATCTGAGAAATTCTTTCTGATTTCATTTTTTTCCAGATCCTCTTTTGTTGCCAGTTCAGGGAGTCCAGGTGGTTAAGTGTCAGAATGTTCCATCTCATTTCCCTTTGGGGTTGCTTTATGTGATCTGGGAGTCTGGTTTTAGACTTGTTTTAGTGTCTTCTCATTTCCTGGGGTGGGGGCTGCTGCTGACCTCCTTGGCGCTGGGGGCGGTGGTATGCTGGGATTTTCACCTCCTCTGCGCTGGGGGCAGCTCTGCTCCTTGGCACTGGGGCCAGTGGTATGGCGCCCCGGAAGGGACACCTCCTCTGTGCTTGGGGCAAGCTCTGCTCCTTGATGCTTGTGTCTTCATATTTAAAGTGGATTTCTTGCCAATAATGTAGTAATTCAGTCTTGTTTTTTGTTCCATTCTGGCACTATCTCTCCTTTAACATATATCAAGACTAGTGAGGTTTAGTCATTGTCAATATAGATTAATTTCTACCATATTTATTACCATTTCCTATTTGTTATCCTTATTCTCCCTGGCCCCCCACACACTGGGGATCAAATCCAGGGCCTGCAAACTGAACTGCATCCCCAGCCCTTTTAAAATTTTTTTTATTTTTTAGTTTGAGGTGGGATCCAACTCACTAAGTTATTCAGGCTGGGCTTGAACTTGCAATCCTTCTGCCTATGCCTCCCATAGTGTTGGGATTACAGGCATATACTACCATCCTTGGCTTTGTTCTTTGTTCTTATTTTTGTCATTTATGTTTTTCTACTTTTTTGTGGCTTTGAGCATTTATGAGTCCATTCTTAACATATCAATTGTATTTCTTTTTTTGTTACTTTTTTTAGTGGTTGCTCTAGAATTTGCAATATACATTTATAACTAATCCAGATCTACTTTTAAATAATGTTACACTGCTTCATAGGTAGTGCATACACCTTATAACAAAGTAACTCTATCCTCTTGCCCTTTGTATTTTTGCAGTCATTCTACTTATGTATAAAACATACATAATCAAATACATTGTTGCTATTGTTTTGAAGTTATCTATTAGATCAATTAAGAATGAGAAAAATAAAATTTTATGTTCACCCATTCTCTGATGCTTTCCTTTCTTTATGTAGATCCAAGTTTCATTTTTTTCCTCTAAAGAACTTCTTTTAACATTTCTCCCAAGGCTGACTAACAAACTCCCCCCGTTTCTGTTTGTCTGAGTCTCAGTGTAAGCTCCTTCCCCAACCCCAGTCTTGGGATTGAACCCAGGGCCTGGCAGATGCTAAGCAAGCACTCCTTCACTGAGCTACACCTCCAGCCCCTCTCCTTTACTTTTGAAGGATACATCACCAAGGTCTAGAATTTTAGTTGGTGAGTTTTTTTCCTCTCAACACTTTGGTTGAATAGTTTCTGAGAAGTTGGATCTAATTCTTGTCTTTGTTCCTCTATATATAAAGTAGTTTTTTTCCTCTGGCTTCTTTCAAAATTTTTGTTTATCCTTGCTTTTCTAGTGTTTAAGCATAATATACCTAGATGTATTGAAGGTATTAATCCTGCTTGGTGTTCTCTAAGCTTCCTGGATCCAACACTAACTAGAGAAAATTCTGTTATTGTTTCGATGCTGTTTCTGTTCCTTTCTTTTTTCTTCTGGTTTCCCCCTTAAACATATCTTTATACCTTTTGTTGTTGTACCCCAGTTCTTAGATATTGTATTGTTTTTTGTTTTTCAATCTTTTAGTTCTTGTTTTTAGTTTTAGAAATTTTTTTGTCACATCCTCAAGATCAGAGACCTTTCCTTGCCCACATGCAGTCTACTAATGAGCCCACCCAGGCATTATTTTCTATTGCAGTGTTTTTGCTGTCCAGCCTTTTTTTTTTTTAATTTGTACTTACAGTGTCCATCTCTAGGTGGGAGAGGTAGTATACACCTTGTAATCTTAGCACTCTGGGAGGCTGAGGCTGATCACAAGTTTGAACAAGCCTGGGCAGTTTAGGAACTTACCAAGACTTTGTCTCAAAATTAAAAGGGCTAGGGATGTAGCTCAATTTGAAGGCCCTGGGTTCAATTCCCAGTACTGAAAAAAAAGGTCTATCTTTCTGCTTACATTATCCATCTGGGGATTGAGTCCAGTGTCTCTAACATGTAAACCAAGTGCTACATCACTGGGCTACTCCCACAGTCCCTATCAGTCTGTTCCTACATGCTGTCTACTTCATCCATTAAAGTCTTTGGCATATTAATCGTACTTGTTTTAAATTTCTGGTCTGATCTTTCCAACATTCCTGCCATATCTGACTCTGATTCTGATGCTTGTTCAGTCTCTTCAGACTGTGCTTTTTGCCTTTAGTATTACCTGCAATGTTTTGCTGAGAGGTGTACATGGTATACAGGTAGTGGGGGAGGTCCCACAGAAAGGCCTTTAGAAACACAATGGGAAGGTGTGTGAGGGAGGAAGTGTCTGTAACCTCATGGTGCGATCTGAGTTTTCTGTGAACCTGCACCCCTGTGCTGTGAACTTCACTCATGCTTCTTCAGGTCCACCTTTAGCTGGAGGGAAAAGACTAGAGGGGAGTGGAGTTGGGCATTTCCTTTCACCCAATAGATGAGGCTCTGATGAAACCCCAGCAGGGCAGGCTTTGTTAGAATCCCTTCTCCTGAGGGCAGAATCCCTTCTCCTTAATAGAGAGCTCTGGTATGTTTCATAATATTCCTTTCCTGCCCCTTGCTGGAAGCACAGGGGATTTTTCTCCGTCATTGTGACGACCTCGAGGTAATGCTCTTGGAAGGAAAACCTGTAAAAGTGCGAGGGAAGGGGAGCATAACTGGGTCCTGCTGGAATTTTTAACACTCAGGCTTGTCCATGTCAGCCTCCAGCAATTTGTCAGTTACAGTCCAGGTTTTCCTCCTCTTGCACTCCTCTGAGGATTCTGGTTGTTGATTTCTGTTCCAGTGAGTTGTGACCTGCTGTATCTGCCTTTCTGTCTCTCCAGTTTTGGGTCAGCACATTGCCCTGTAACCTCACTTTTCAGTTTCCCAGCTTTGTATTTGTCAGTAGGGTAGAATGACAATAGAACTCCTTAAGTTCTACCAGCCACTTCATTGCATTGAATTTCTCCCTGCTGGGAGGCTTAGGTGCCAGATACTATTACTGTTATCCAGATCGGGAAACAAGCTCAGAGAAGTTAAATATCCTCCCCAAGACCCCATATCCTCAAATCTAGCAACCTGCTTCTCCAGTGCACCCGTTTCTTCATTGTATGCTTCCTTTTCCAAATGAAAGGTATAGTTTACAAGTCAGGAGATCTGGATTCAAGTCTCTTCCTTCTCACCCATCCCCATAATTATTTATAAAATGGCCAGTCAATCCTATCATGCTTATGTCTCTGAACTTATAGGTGGACCAGTTCAAAGAATGAATATCAAATATCCTTGTAGACTAAGCAGGTAGCACAAATGTATGCCTGTTTCTTGGTACATATATGTCTGGAAATGTAGTCTTGCTGGTGAGTCTCATCTTGACTTAGTTCCCTTTGTAGGCTCACTTTTGCTACACCTCTCCACCGACTTGCTCATCAGTCACAGAGCCTCTCTGGCATCAGATTAGAAGAAGAAATATTCAAGAATGTATATGGTACAGAATGTGTCTCTCTTGCTCCAGCATAGCCATTCACTAGACAGAGGAGTGATATACAGACTGCGAGTTTCATGGGAGTCACTTGTTGTGACATAGGCATTGGAGTCATCATTTTGATAGGCTTTCTCATCCAGCCAAACCCTAGGAAATTTGCAAGTATCCCTAGAATCTAAGAACTCAGTGCAGGCTGAGTGGAATCCACAGTATGTCCCTAGTGTATGAATCAGAATATTTTAAGGATTCTCTGTGGTCCTTGGGATGAACCTTTACGCACTCACAAATGGAGTCACTCCCAAGGTTCCCAGTGGGTTGGGTTGCTGCTTCACTGCCTATAACTTTTACATGGACATCCTTTGTAGCTGTGCAGTGTGGCTTTACATTTGATGCCATGAGTCATAGATATAATGGAGCTACTGTGGGTCATCTCTTAACCTTGCTGATTAGGTTTTAGGGAGGTTATCTTGTTACTTATTAAATAATATGACTTAAAAATTGTTAGGGCTTCTGCAGATAAAATGAGATTTTTAGGCTTCTCTTGTGAGAAATTCTTACTAATTGAAGATTTTATTCCTCTTGCTCTGCAGGTGGCAAATCTTCTAAAGCTATGTATAAGACTCCCAGACCGTCATTCCCTTGGCATAGCTGATAGTTTGTCTAATCTAGTATATGTGGATTTAGTGAAATGTTTTATTTCAATTTTGTTTTAAGTTTGAATTTAGAATTCTCTAAACTGACTTCTGAAGTTCAAAAGACATAAAAATTTAGAGATGCATGAAGCTTAAAATTCATCTGGTCCAACCAGTTTATTTTATGATAGGTAAACCGAGGACCAAGAGATCAGCTGATTTACCCAAGATCACACCACCTGATAAAAGAAGAGCTGAAAATAGTAACTGAGTCTCCTGGCTTTGAATGTAGTGCTCCTTCCATGGCACTCTGCATGCTTTCTTCTGTATACTTTCTTAAAAATGATCCTCTAAATAGCAGTTCTTTTTTAAACTATATTTGGCCCATCAGGAAAAAAAACTTTTAAGAAAAATGTCACCAATATTATTGATATTTTATTCTCAATTATTAGTTTATAAATACCTTAAGTATGGGAAATGCTAGCAGTCATTATTACCTAATTTGATAATACCAGCAGCAGATCTCAAAGGAAACTTGTATTGGGAGGTAAAGACTTACAGAAGTGACTGCACTTAGAGTAGAGAAACTACAGTCTCTGGTCTGCCATGTGATTGTTCAGCAGCTGTTTCCACCTTAGGCAGTGCTAACCTGGGATGCTTACGCTACTTTAGAATTGACTAATAGTTTTCCATTAAAATGATCAAAGAAAGGCATCTCACTCTTGTCTTTCTCCTAGGAGTGAAGTGTAGCCAGTGGTCTGAAGAGGCTTCGATGGTTTTTCGAAATCATGTGGAGAAGAAACCTCTGGTGGCACTGGTACAAGAAGTTATTCAAAATCCTAACCCTTGGGACCGAAAAGTAGTAGTCTATCTAGTGGACACATCGCTGCCAGACACTGATACCTGGATTCATGATTTCATGTCACAGTATCCAGTGGAGTCTTCAAAAGTTAATTAATCACTGCTTCTGAGACTTTGACAACTAACTCAGTTATTTTTTAGCAATAACAAAATGTGGTAGGCTTTAAAAACATCTTATTTCTGCTACATGGCTCTGACTGTTGTGGGAGATTCAAAAGAATATGTCAGTGTTTAATGAGAAATATTTAACAAGCTTTGTTTGGACAGAGTTGACTTTTCAAAGAAAATCGCACTTGAATTATTACTATAATATTAGAATTAAAAAGTTTATCAATATAAAAACTGGCTAATTTGTCATTTGTAGGCTTTATAATCTTAAGATGAAAATTTCCTTTTCCATAGAAATGTTATCTTCCTTGCAGTGCTGGGCTCTTCTTCAGTTAAATTGGGAATATCATGACTTAACTCTTCCCCTGGCATGGTGGTGTGTCCCAGAGCAAGTGATCCCCAAAACATATGCAGACTTACCTTGAGTCTTTAGCACATCAGCATTGTCACAAGAGCAGACCAGGCAAACCAGCATGCCCCTTATTCCAAATCTTGAGTGACTTCTCATCACCCAGAGTGTCCAGACCCAAGAGCCAGGCTGTCTGTAGCCCTTCTACCCAGCCTTGTCCTCCACAGTGCAGCCACACTGGACCTTTATCTTATCCTTTGACCCCACATATGTTCATCCAGGACTACTGACATCCTAAAACAAGACTTACTGCCCTTCTAACTGCATACAACAGCCCTTCCACCTGTGACTCATTCTTCCCCACCATCTTTTGTCAGTGCCCTGTCTGACCTCCTGGGCTGACCGTGAAGCTTTCTACTTCATTTTACTTTGATTCTGTCCCTCTTGATGCCCATATCTCACTAAACTTTGTAGGACACAATTAATAGTCTGTGTACCAACCATACCAACTAGATCGTGAGCCTTTGAGGGACAAGTCTTAGTCATCTCTTTATCTGTACTATATTGGTAAATGTTTGAAGACCAGGGAGATGAGCCTTGATTTGCACTGTTTGACAGCGTACATGCTGCTTACACTCCCACCATTGTTTTCTGACTAACAAGGTGAACATGGAGATAGATGTAGATAGGGGAGTGAGGTCAAGTCTGAAGTTCTAGGCTGATGATCCTTACCCAGTTTGACAGGAAGGTTAAAATTTTGATTTTGAACTCATTGAACTTGAGCTAATAGACCTTCATGTGAAGATACACACAAACTACTAGAAATACTGAGTGCATTTCAGAGGAGAAAGCCAGGCTGGAGATAAGCATTCTTAAATTTATTTGTTTTTATTTGAGAAAGTACAGAAAAAGAAAAGAAAAAAGATGTTATAAGTCTTTCACCTTCAGCATATAGAAATTATCTCTAAAAATTATCTTTATAAAATTTATATTTAATATATTTAAACTGAAAACTCGAGAGTTTTTAGGCCAGCAATTAAAACAATCATGATGAAATAAAGATTCTGACATGTAAATGTTTAAGTGAAGTAAAATAGCATGCATTTTTTGTAACAGTCTCTTTCCCTAACAACAACAAAGGCAAAATTCCTCAAATTATGTACAAATAAAGACAAAGTGGTTTGTTTCAGTGACTAGAAATGCTTCTGTTTTTAAAATAAAATTATATTTGTTGATGTAACTGTAAAGTTCATCTGGTGCTCGGACAGTTTGACAGACAGATGAACTTAGCCTCTACTTCATCCTATGTTCCCAAGTCAGTCCTAGGTAAATTGGAAACCTAAATGTGAAAGGTAAGATCAGAAGAGAACAGGAAAATACCTTTATAACCCAAGGGTAGAAAATAAGTTTTTAAACAAGACACACAAAGTACTATGATAAAAAGATGGATAGACTATTAAAACTAAAAACACCAATTCATCAAAAGACATTAAGAAGAGGCAAAGCACAGAGTGAAAGAATATAGTTGAGATACATACAGTGGTACCACAAAGCCTTTGGAAGAAGTGGCAGGCAAACACCACAAGTGTGTGCACTTGGTAGGAGGACACTGGGAGAGAATGTTCACAGCAGCACTATTTGTAATAAGCAACCTGAATGTCTGCTAATAGTAAAATTGGTTTTTTAAATTATGGGAAACACTACAGGTGCATGAAACATTACACATTAATCTCAGAGTTGAGCAAATGAAGACAAACTGCATAAGTACAAGAAAGTAAGGAAGGATATGATTACCAAAAGGGTCAGGAAAACGCGTGTGGGAAGGAGTTGTGACAGGAGGGACATGTTGGCTTCTGAGCTAACAGTGTTTCCTGACTGACGGTTGATCTGCACAGGTGTCCACACTGCAAAAATTCAGGAAGCTAACACATACGTTGTTCACACTTACATATTTGAGACCATAACAAAAGTTTTAAACTAATCTTAAATATTAAATCACCACTTTTATTTAAAAATATATGGCAGAGCCAGGTGTGGTGGTGCACACCTGTAATCATAGCACTAAGGAGACTGAGGCAGGAGGATTGTCAGGACTTTGAAGCCAGCCTGGACTACATAGTTCAATTCCAGTCTGAACTACGTAGCAAAACCCTGTCTCCAAAAAAAAAAAAGTACGTTTTAAAAATGATTGTCTCTCAGTTATATACAGTACCAGGATTAAGAGTTGATTTTCATTAGGGTCTCCCTCACCCAAAACTTTCCCATAAGACTCCCAAGTTAAGACATTTTCCTATGGTCCTACAAATTCCTTTGCATGTGCCACGTATTAAAACACTTAAAATTTCTGTTGAAGTGATTTGTTCTGGAAAACATTAGCCTTTTAGGAAAGGAGAACTTTTTTGTTGTGGTTATTTTAAGTCCTTATTTTGGACACTCTATTGTCTCTTAGTACAATGTAGAGAACGCATTCGACTCTGTTGGAATTGTGTTCACCAAATGATGTTATTAAGGCTTGGGCTCATGCCAGACCTTGCCGGGCTGCTGGGAAGATGAGATGGATCGCGGCTTCAAAGCAGGGGAAGGTGCAGCAGCCCCATGGCTGGCTTTACTCCATCACTATTGAGGACCTCCGAAAAATTCTGGGCCCCACAGGAATAAAAATCTGCCTGCATTTTCCACTCTACCTCACTCAAACTCTTCCTGGGACAAGTAGAGAAACCGAGACCCGGTCAGCGGCTGATGCACCTTCAACCTGGGATGGAGGCAGGCTGCCTCCCGGTGGCCCGGCCCCTGGCCGGTGCTGCCCCAAGGAAGTGTCGCTCCCAGGCCGGGCACTGCGGGCCAAGCCTCGGCGCCCCCCTGTGGACAGGGAGGGCGGAGGCGGCGGGCGGGGCGGGGCGGGGCGGGGTGGGGCGCGGTGACAGCGCGCAGCCCGGCCCGCCCCTGGCTCCCACCCCCCCGCAGCCCACAGCGCCCGCTCGGCCGGGCTGCCCGGGAGCCCGCCCAGCCCCGCGCTCGGTTCGCTCGCTCGCCGCCCGCGCTCTCCCCGCCGCCAACTGCTCCGGTCCCCGCTCTGCGCCCGGGTAAGCCCTTCACCCTTCTGGGGTCCCCCTCGGGCTTGCGGGGCTCCCTCTTCGGCGCTTGGGCCCCAGCCATATCTGGGCAAAATATTCAGCTGTCGCCGCCGCCGCCAAGAGGGACTGAGCGCGGCTCCCTCTATAAATAGCTGCCGCCTCGGGTTGCCTCTGGGCCGGGGAGCCCAAATGTCGGGGATCCGGAGCCCCGCGCTCCGCTCCGGGGGGCTCTCGTTCCTGCTGCCCCGCGCCCGCGGCCCCGGCCAGGGAGCCCTCCACTTGGACCTTTGCGTCGCCGCTGTCAACGCAGGGGGACCGCGGGCGCACGGCTGGGTACAGGTGCCCCGCGCCGGGCACTCGGGCGCGGCCTCCTCCCTCTGCAGAGAGAGCCGGGGAGAGTCGGGGGAGTGAGGGCGTTGGTGCTCGCGGGACGCGGAGCCTGGGTTCGCGCCGCGCCCGCCGGCGACCAGAAAAGTTTCCCCGACTGCGGGAGGCGACAGGTTTTAAAGCACTACTGCGCGCGCGGATGCAGCCAGGTGGAGCGGGTCAGATAGCCTGGAAACAGTCGCCTTGGCTGTAGTCAGCTCTCGGCATGGCCTTGGAAAACCCCCTCCTTTCTTTGGACCTGGGTTTGCACATTTGTAGGACGAGGCTAGGGACCCGGGCAGTGGGAGCAGCGGGGCGCACGCTCCCCCTAACTGTTCATCGTTTCCGGGCAGGGACTCGCAGGGTACAGCCGTGCACAGCCGGAGCTGTGGCAGAAGTATGAGCTTGCTGTGGGTTCCCCACCTTGGATCATATCCTGGAACCAACTAAGGCCCTAGGAATAGCACAGGCTGTGCACTCTCAGAAAGGGCACCCCTGAGGTGCTTAGGGGCACCTTTGCTTTGGCAAAACAAGTGACCCAAACAGTTTTAGATCCCACAAACAGGGCAGGACCAAGGGTTCCAATCTGGCTCTTCGTAGGCTCAGTTTCCCCTCCAGCATGGCTTTCCTCCATCCCCAGCCATGACTACCGTTACCGGCCCTCACTGTAGTCCTGGCTCTCGCCCTCCCTCTGACACTCTTGAAGGCCACCTGACCCAAGTCCTTCAGTGTCCAAATCACAGAACCAGTCTGAACCCAGATGCTGGGCCCTGACCACTCAGAGGATCTCATCTATCTGCCCAACATGAACCCCATCTTGTTGTCCATGAAGGACCTCAGAGTTCCCTGCTCAAGGTCACCAGCTGGACACCAGGTCTGCAGTCTCCACCACCTTTCCCATTTTTCTCTGGCCCTTCCCTCTGTGCAGGCACATCTTGGGGCTCTCTGAACAACCTGCCAAGCCCCCTTTTGTGGTCTGCGGCTGTCCAGGACTTTCCTTTGCAATAGCGCCCTCATCCTAGTTTCCTTTCTGTTTCTACTCCTTTTATTTATGTCTTTAAACCAATATCAAAGCCTCACACATAAAAGAACTAAGAGGAAATGGCGCCATAGTCAGATTCCCATTAATTCAAGCCACACAACAGACAGGCAGAGTGAAAACAACGAACCCTGTGGCCTTGGTGTATTATCTCTAATGAGATAGTCTTACAAACCCCTGGTTTAGTCACTGGCCCTCGGGTTCTACCGCCATCTAAGTGGAAAGCCAGTGTCCTCTAAAAATAGCCTCCGCCCCACCTTATCAGGGTCTCACACCTTCTCCCTACTCCTGGGCAGGGTAGTTTCCTGCAGCTCAGCAAAAACAGAAAACAGAAAGCAGCTCCCAGTAGTGGAAGGTACGCTGCCAGCCTGGCTGTTGGGACCCTGGCTCCAGCCCCAGCCCTGCC